GGCCGAAGACACCCCCCAACGCAAACGCTGATTTGGCTCTGGTGAGCTTCTAGACATGACTTTCACAAAGCCTGTTTCCTGTAACACCATGACATCCCGACGTCGAGAATAGAAACGATGAGAAGGCCCTCCGGCCGAAGACACCCCCCAACGCAAACGTTCATTTGGTTCTCGCAAGCTTCTAAACATGACTTTCACAAGGCGTGTTTATAGCAACAAGCCTGAGTGCAGAAGTGTTTGGATGTGGGCTGGCTTTGGTTTGGCTGGCTCTGGTTTGGTTCGTTTTGAGTAGTGTTTGGGTGGTCTTGGGGTGGGCATGTCTGCACACAAGTGCGTACAGCTGAACAATGCTACCCTAAACCCTAAACCCTAAACCCTAAACCCTAAACCCTAAACCCTAAACCCTAAACCCTAAACCCTAAACCCTAAACCCTAAACCCTAAACCCAAAACCCTAAACCCTAAACCCTAACCCCTAAACCTAAACCCTAAACCCTAAACCCTAAACCCTAAACCCTAAACCCTAAACCCTAAACCCTAACCCCTAACCCCTAAACCCTCACCCCTAAACCCTAAACCCTAAACCCTAAACCCTAAACCCTAAACCCTAAACCCTAAACCCTAAACCCTAAACCTAACCCTAAACCCTAAACCCTAAACCCTAAACCCTAAACCCTAAACCCTAAACCCTAAACCCTAAACCCTAAACCCTAAACCCTAAACCCTAAACCCTACACCCTAAACCCTAAACCCTAAAACCTACACCCTAACCCCTAAACCCTAAACCCTAACCCCTAAACCCTAAACCCTAAACCCTAAACCCTAAACCCTAAACCCTAAACCCTAAACCCTAAACCCTAAACCCTAAACCCTAAACCCTAAACCCTAAACCCTAAACCCTAAACCCCTAAACCCTAAACCCTAAACCCTAAACCCTTAACCCTAAACCCTAAAAACCCTAAACCCTAAATAAACCCTAAACCCCTAAAAACCCTAAAACCCTAAACCCCTGAACCCCTAACCCCTAAACCCCTCAATAAACCCTAAACCCTAAGAAACCCTAAACCCTAAAAGCCTATAAACCGTACACCACCCTGAACCCTAAACTCTAAACCCTAATAAACCCTAAACCCCTAAACAACCCTAAACCCTAAACATACACCAAACATACATACACCACACATACACCACCACACATGCACCACACATACACCCCCACACATACCACACATACACCACCACACATACACCACCACACATACACCACCACACATACACCACCACACATACACCACACATACACCACACATACACCACACATACACCACACATACACCACACATACGCCACACATACACCCACACACATACAACACCACACATACACAACACATACACCACACATACGCCACACATACACCACACATACACCACACATACACCACACATACACCACACATACACCACACATACACCACACATACACCACACATACACTGCATCACGCATACACCATCATGCACCACACAGCGCATGCACCCTACCATGCACCCTACAACCCGCACTGAACCGCGTGTACGCTGCACAACGCATGCACCGCACCGGGCACGCAGCCACACAGCAACACGCGTACTCTTCACAACGACATCACCCGCCACGCACGCACCATGCATCCGCTATGCACCACACCGTGCATAAAATCCCAAACCACGCATACACCGGTTGCAAACAAATACATACACCGCACACGTCTGCACACGCACACTGCGCAACGCATATACACCGCTCCAGGCATACAACGCACCACGCGCACACTACACAACACATTCGCCCTACCACGCATACAGTGCGCCATGCATGCAGGGCACCACGTGTACGCCGCACAATGCGTACACTGCACACCGCAAGACATCACACCAAGCATACCCCACAGCCTGCAAAACACCGCATTCGCGCATTCACCACACCACGTATACTTACACTGTAAACACACGCATACACCACACCGCGCATTCGCCACAACCAACGCACATATAAATACACATGCAACATATGGCATTGCATTGTTGCTAGATGGGCTTCATATCTGGACAGATATATGGCAAGCATCTCGCAAATACTTCGCTGTCACATTTGCGGTTTCATGCGTATAAACATGGTAGTCCTATTTGTGGTTCGATGCGTCTGAGTAAGCGGTTGTGTATCGTTGCTTGATGGGTTGCATGTATGGACAGATCCTTGATAACTTATCATGCACGTTCGAGAAAGGAAGAGGACGGTAAAATCCTTTGCTGTTATATGGTCTTATGTGTCCAAATGGTTTTGTATCGTTGCTGGACAGGTTTCGTATCTGGCCAGATATATGGTAGTCATGCGTGCACGTTCGAGACAGGAAGAGGATCGTAAATACCTTGCTGCTATGTTTGTGATTTTGCGCTTCTGAATGGCCTATTTGCATCGTTGCTAGATGCGTTCCATACTTGGCTGTTATATTTATGGCTTTATGTGTCTAACAGGTTTTGCATCGCTGCTAGAGGAGTTTCATGCGTGGACAAATCTATTACTGCGCGCACGTTCGAGAAAGGAAGAGGACCGTAAATACTGTGCTGTTCAACTTAACGGTTCTGCATCGTTGCTAGAAGGGGTTCATGTATGGACAGATACATGGTAATCACTCGTGCACGTTCGAGCTGCACCACGCACAATTACATCACACATGCACCAGGCCACGCATACATCGCACATGCTTCACATCACACCGCACTGCTTGCGCCCATGCACACACCACACACATGCCCAACAACGCACCACACCATGCACACCACACATACACTGCACATCACCACTGCAGAACACAACACATAGTAAATTGCGACAACGCGAAAACACCACTCCATGCATACAGCGCACCACGCATACACCACACTTGTCACACCACACAAGACCACACCACCCCCGAAAACCACCGGGCCCATGGTGACAGCAGCAGCAGGACCAGGATACGTCGAGGGCGGACCAAGCTCACTCACCATGAAGTCTCGCACAACCTCGCTGGTTCAGGGTCGTGTGTCCGGCCCGTTCGGGCGCTCTCGATCCTGGACGGGCCATGGAAGTCATCCCAGAGGGCTCACCAAAAAAGGCTTGCCATGGGCTCCTTCCCCAAAGGGCGCTGCCAAGAAAGAGGTTCACACTAACCGTCCCCAGGTCGCTGGAAGGCACTCCAACACGGTCAACCGCGAGGCCCGGCCCCACCAATCTCCCACAATCCAGTTGTACGAGTGGTTACGCACACAGGGCCAGCTGAGCTGCCTTTCGTGCCAGATAAGTGGGATAATCGGTGGCTAACGATTCGTATCCCTAGTCACCAACTTCCGGCTATCGACCAACCAACCAACCAGGAACACACACACACACACAGACATACACACGCACCGCACACACACACACACACACACATACGCACACGCACCCGCATGCACGCCAGAAACCAGTGACACAGCATCAGCCCGTCTTTCGGAATGCCAAACGGCATCTGCTACACGCACTCTCACAATCCACAGCACCCAGCGCAGCCATGGGGTCGCTTTTCTTCTGCTGCAACAACAGAACGCTTGATTGCGGGCTTCCCTGAATTAGTCGCTGCGCCAAGCAAACAATGCCAAGCAAATATCAAACTGTTGCAGCCTTTTTGTTTGCAAAGTCCATCAGGACGCATTGATTGGTTGGCGTAGCAAAGAACGACTGAATTTGTGCTGCCCTTTCTGTCTCGACATCATGCTGCCGGACGTGTTGTTGGTAGAAGGCCCCTGTCATCAAACAGTTCCGCCTTGGTCGCCGCAGGCGAGGCGCGAGGCACTCTGACTGCAACCAGCTCGAACTCAGCAGACGGCCATCAAACCGCATGTGTCCCGGTCAAGCTTGGACTTGGCAGCCTGTTGCCAAGCGCAACAGGCAACATGTATAACATGTACACTGGGTTGAACTCGCCTGCATGCGAGCAGACATAACCATGTTGAAGTCTGCCTGCATCAACACCAAGAACCCATTCTCACTTCAGCAAAACGATCTGCTCAGCCTGCTGTTGCAGAGTTCTTGTTGCTCTAGCTGGTTCCTGGTAGCCAAGGTGCTCACAAGACTCAAGGTGCTCAAGGTGCCCAACTCGTGAAGCGAAGGGATGGACAGATTGACTGCCAAAAGAGTGGCAGATCCCGTGTTCCAGGTGGTGGGGAGATTAAAAACCCTTCATGAGGTGCACAAACCATTTTACGTTGGTCCTTGTAATGAATTGATATGACATGAAAAAGGCAACCAAGCACATCGGGCCTAGGATTGCAGCTGCAGAGCCGCGGCTTGCCAGCATCCCTGAGTGCTGCCACCGAACGCAAGTCATGGGCTGCGACATTGAAATCGTGCAAGCTAGTGATGCTTCTCTGTCCTGTTCGCCCAGGGCTGTCAACAAAGGTATTCTTTGAACCAACTGGCACAGCATCGAGTTCCCCATGTCGATCACTACCCAGCCACCACAGCTCTGTTGATCCCGCGAATCAATGCTGCTCAATGCGTTCCCCGAGCTTCTGCACAACCGTGTGCAAGAAAAAAAATCCGGGATCCATTGAGAAAGTTCATCACCTTTTGCATCTGGAGTTGTTCTGACAAGCGGGTCGGTCTGCTTCGCCGCGAGCCTGCCCGTAGTAGTCAAAAGACATGCTTTTCTTGCACAAGCCGCCCCAACAACCGAAAGCAACTAACAGCATCTGAAGCACCTTCGACGACCCACAGCTCCACGAAAATGAGGCTGTCAAACGTCTTCTTCCTGATGCGGCATGCACTGCTGCAATCTGCTATCAAGAGTCTTGCGGCACACAGGGCCCACAGAAGATTTTTCAACCAGGGCTTGGTAAGTCGTCTGGCATGTTGCCATCAGACTCCGGTGAAACAAAACATCGCGCAATCCTTTGCATAAACTTTGTGTGTCTACATGTGACACATGCAGTATTCCTGCCTAGCTGGGTGACAGCAGGGCTGCTGGAGGTGGGACGCGGGCTCCCCAGACCTTCACCAAGTCATTGTTCATCTGCTGCAGCCTGACAGCTGCGCTTCAATTCTTTACGATGCATCGTTGTATGAATTTGCTTTGCTTATCCAGCATCTGATTCAGTTTCACGCCGCGCCTATTGGGCCTATTCAGCTGAGGGCCTCTTCTTTCTCAAGTTCTACTGCTGCTAATGCATGCGGCTGGATTTACGACGACTCCCTACTCCTGACGCAAGCAAGGACGAGGAGTGGGTCAAGTGAATTGGGCTTGCCGGGGCAGGGTTACAAGCAAGCTACAAGTGTCACAAGAAAAACGACTTGCACCCCAGCAGAGCAACATCAAGAGCTCTTCCACGGATGAGCCCCAGAGCCTTCTGCTTTGCACCACAAGCTTATGATCCATGGTGAAGGTGCTGATGCGCAGCTGACACAGCTCGGTGCCCATGCCCATGGTGACTGTGAATGCGGCAGCATTCTCGAAGTTTTTCGCATCAATGACATTGGACACTTTCTCCACTTTGTACCCAGCTGTTGTAAAGGCATTGGAAATGTTCGAGGTGAATGTTGCAATTTCTTCCTCTTCCGACAAACTTTCCCGAGGAGCAAAAACAAAATGCCTCGAGTTCATGCGCCCGACATCATGCACGATCGGTCTGCCTCCGAACTCCCAAGCTTTGGCCATGCCTTTGAACTGATCCATCGACATTTCCCGAGCGTCACGAGCCATGTAGCGGCGCATGAGCTCTGCTACTCCTTCAGGAGTGATTGTCGCATTTTCGTTTTGCAAGCTCCTCGTCAGCTCAGCTTCTGAAAGACTTCCACTGCCGCACGCATTTGCAGAGTGGAAGGCTGCTTCTGCATTGCTGAATTTCCGGACATATAGAGCCAGAGCTTCTACCACACCCGTACACTTTAGCGACAGGTTTGGGCGCCTTGCGCGAAGCTCCCGCACAAAATCTAGAGGCGTCGACAAGTCACCTGACAACCAGCTCAAGGCGGGAAACGTCTTGAGCACATCTAGATCACCTGCCATGGCTGCCTGCAGCTGTTGAAACGTCGGTCGCTTTCCTGGACTCCGTGCCCACAGACAATTTATGAGCGCTTTGAGCTCGGAGGCTTCGGCAAACTGCTGGAATTCTTTGCGATCCCACCATTTTGAGCTGGCACCCTCATCTGTGAGGACTTTCAGGCCTCCGAAGTACGGGTGGAATGGAGGGATCGGCTGCTTCAAGAGAAAGACGAGTATCCCAACTGTGAACACATCAGCTTTCTCGCTGTCATACATCTTCTGTCCATACTCTGGCGCATGGTAAAGATCCGTGCCCACGGCAGCTGTTTGTTCTCGCATGAACTTGGAGCTTTGCGATTTGAGCGTTGGTGATGCGCGCTGTTCTTCATTGTCCGCTGGTGATTCTTCCTGGAGCCAATGGGTAAGCTTCGCGCATCCCAGGTCGATGATGACGACGTGACCGTTCTCGTCAATGAGGAGATTGTCCGGCCTCGGGATCAAGAGATCATGCAACTCAGCCGTATTCAAGATGCTCATTTAAAGATTTTACAGTTGTCCCATCCATCTGCAGATGCTCGAAGCATGTTGCAGCATGTTGCTAGCATGTTGCATTGCATATGTTGCAGCCAAAGAGCTTGAGATCCCTGTGTGTGATTCCACACTTGCACAGCTCTGACATGCCATTGATGATGTCGTGCACGAGGCGCCTCATCGTTCCGTCACTCAAGGCCGCTGCCTCGGCTGTGATGAGATCGAAAAGCTCGCCATTGGGGATAGCCTCCATAACAACAATGTGCCTGGCAGGGTCCCATGATGAAGACCCACGCCCGATGTGCGTTGCGATGCCGACGTAGCTGATTACGTTGGGATGCTGGAAGACTTGAAAGGGTGCCTGTCGAAGGAAGCTGAGCTCACGGTCGTTGTCTCTTGAAAGGAACTTGAGAACGTAGCGATGTCCCGTCGGCTCATGCGTTGCTAAGTACGACTGCCCAAAGGCACCTGCCCCCAAGAAGTTGTCCAGTGTCCAGCGCTCCCCAAAAATCGTGAAAGCTGTGGGTCCGAACCAAGGCTCGTGCCCGCCCTTTCCATCGAACTTCTTCTCTGAGCGCGAAATGATGGCAATGTCTGCCGCTTTGACAATAGGAATGTGAGCAGATCCTTCTTGCCCTAGTTTCTGTCTCCAAAATCCAGTGAGAATGACAGCTGGATTTGTGACAGGCAAAGCCTTAGCCAACCATGGCCATGTACATGAATCATGCTTGCCTTATCTTGCCTGAAGCTGAGAGGCTTTGGCTGCACTTCCCGGATCTTCCAGCGCCTGCATGCAAAGCTTCAAACGATGCTCACTGCAGCCCATGCTACTTGCAACGCCATTTCTCTGAAATCAGGCGAGCAGCTGTCACCAGCTTGCTTCGCGACTCAGGGCTGAGATGCTGCAGGGCATTTTGCAGGTCATCAGCGGAGCAGGATTTTACCTCAGTGCTGCTTCGTGATTGCATGCTGGTTGAAGCTCGACCATGTCATTGTTGTGCAGGGTTGAAGAAAACCGGTGGCTTGTCACCGGAAGTCATGCTGCACAGGAGAACCTAAACCATCATTCCTGGCGGCGACAACAACACCAGGAAATGCCCTGATGCGATAGACAGGTTCACTCCAAGTTCATGCTACGTTTTGTCCTCTTCGGCGCTGTCGGAACTGATGCCTGCTGAGGCACTGCACCCGCCACTGCAACAGAACATGCAGATCCCATGGCCGAAATGTCTGGTGTGGCTGTCTTGAGCCTAATGTAGCTGTCGGATCCCAATTCCGTGCATGCTCGCTCACTTGCCTGCAAGAATCTGAACATTCCATGGCGCAACACGTAGCTGCAGCGAAGTTTCTGCCAATCCCGCATCGAAAGGCCCCTTTTGCTTCACAAACTGATAGCCTTGGACCAATCGGCGGGAGCAAGTGCATCAAACTGGTAGCTCTGGGGGCAGCACCCATGACGAGAATCATGGCCGCTGCCTTCGACACCATACAGAGCTACGCAGTCCGCCAGGAAACGGAGCAGATACTTGTCAAAATCGTACAAGTGCAGCTTCTTTGCTTGCAAGCTGCAAAGACTGGAAGCTTGAAGTTCCCCAATAGGTCCCCAGGTGGTGGCTGGTAAACTTGCCTTGGCAAACCACGACACACTGCGCAAAGTCTTCTGCTCCACCCGTCGAGCGGTGAGTGATTCATGATTAATGATCATTCGATCGGCAAATGTCTCAGAATGTTGTCTAACCGTCTGACGGCCCGCGCATCATCAGTTCGAAGACCTCAATTTCCGTGCCGTCCTGAGGATCGTATTCTGTGAGTGGAAGAACTGAACCTGGGAAGAATTTGGACTTGGATGCCATCCTGCGACAGCAGTGCCAAGAGATCTCCTGCCGCCACAGCTCAGCAACTGGGAAATGCTGCTTAACAACTCTTGCTGCGCTAGCGACCTTCTTGGTAGCGACGCTGGACGGCCTGGCCAGTGATATGAGCAACGTATGCCGAGGTACATCTTAGGTGTTTTTCATCACTTGTTGTTTCTCGCGACATGGTTGCGAAGGGCACGAACTTGTTTGCGGTGCATCGCGCGATTTCGCGGTGAGCATAGTCTACCTGGGTCTTGGCCTTGAAAGGAGAATAGAAAACAAACTCTACTACAACCTTTGATGTAGGGCTGACATTGAAGCCACCGCAGCCAGCTAGTTGCAAGGGTCCACTTGATTGCTGAGACCTGGTGGGCTAAGAAGGCAAATGCTGCTGCACGCGCGCCCTACGACACATTGAAAAAGCAATAACCCCCCTACTGCATGATGTTCTGGATTGCATCTCCCCAGCCGGCAGCCAGTGGATTTAGCCACACTTTGTAGCCGCACTGTGTAGCCTCCATGAACAGACAAGCGGGGAATGCATGACGCCACTAATTCTACATAGGCAAGTCACAAGCAGCTGTGCCCCACCAGCTTCACAACTGTAGAAGACACAAATGAAAGAAAGCAGTCAAAAAAAGCTTACAAGGGGCAGCCATATGTCGCGCCATCGTACGTGAAGTTGCGACAGCCATAAGCACAGTTGCGAAGCGAGCTCCCGATTGCGCACGCAGTCCGCAGCACATTCTTGGCAACTTCTGAACATAGGATGTCTATTGTCTCACGCAGCTTTTTTGAAGAACCTATGTCCGAAAAACGTCAAAACTATGCCAGTTGTTGCGGGACAGTAATTTCAATCTTGTGATTGACTGGATTTTGACTGAATGTTGAAACGAGGGTACGTGCGAGGCTCGCGCGAGATTGTACGAGGCCCTCGGAGCTCGGGTCTGACAGGTTGACGTTCTGAGGACAAGCGACTCCTTCGGAATGGCTTCCCTCCAGTGTGCACACGAAAAGACACAACAAAAATGATTCAAGGGAGGCCCATGCTTCTTAGCAGGAATCGTTTGACGGCTTCCCCACACTCCACACGCCAAGATATTGCTGCCAGTGATTTATTTCTGGGTTTTTTCGTATGTCCATGCTTCTTAGCATGGCCCGTTAGATCTCGTTAGGAATGCGTCCCCGCAGTGGGCGCGCAGAGGGGGCGCGCAGAGATGGAACTTCAAGTGGTTTTAAGGGCAGATCTCGTCTGGCATGGATTCCCGCAAGTGTGCACAAAGGTACAGGCATCGCGACTTAACGTAATTACCTAGTACAACCTACATCACGAGAGTACTTTCTCCGAGGCTTGACAAGGCAGATGGGAAACGGCTCTGAAGAGACGCGCCGCAAAACGTTGTTGTGATTTCGTCCTCACGTGGTCAAAATCCTTGCTCACTCAGCTGGGAAGCCCGACCCAGTCGCGAACAGGCCGGCTGCTTCTTCTCCACGCAACTGGAGAAACATCCCGAGCCTGAGCGTGGCAGCTTGCTGGGGCCATGCTCTGCACAGTCTCAAAATGCCGAGATTGCGCATGGACGTGCGGTCAGAATCTAGGAGCATTTCGGGATTTAGGGTGAAACTGAAGCACCCGTCAAGGTTCTGAAATCCTCAGGAGCACCATTGTTGAGGGCGGCACAAAAACCTAGGACTTGGAGTACATAACAGTGGCCATGGCCATGCGTGAAATTTGAGAGAGATGGCCCAGGAATGCCCCAGCGAGGCCCGCAGGCGCATGCAGCAGCGACTCGAAGCAGGATAACCAGCACCATCCACTTGAGCTAGACATAGCTAAACGTAGGCCAAGTTTAAGTCCACTGCAGAATCATCCCAACCTTGCAAAGCACAACGTGATCTTGATATCTCTTTCTATACCCGCGATTTTGCTGGCAAGCTTGCACCGCTTAGGCCGCCTGTCCCCACGTGTGACATGTTGAAGGCCATCATCTGCATGCGCTGCATGATGAGCATCCAGCCGCTCGCAAAACACAACTGACTAACATTTGTGAATCTTGACTTTTTTGTAGCACGATTGGCGGCCTCGGATCTTCCGTTGAAGCTTCGGGACATTTCCAGGGCTAAAGCGAAGCCCCGAACCTGCAACAACAGGGAGCACGGCAAGCAGGACAACAGCAGGACTGATAAGCCAACAAGTGCACCGAGGAAATCGATAAAGGCGAGCGTGTTGCCCCTCGGGGGAATCGATGCTCCACCTGCGCTTGTGTTGCGGGTCGCAGAAAGGAGAACCTCTTTTCCTCTTAATGTTCTAAGGCCACATATTGTTGCCCATTGTTAACCGGCACACTTCATCCGATCTCCTTCGTACAAGTATTTTAGTTAGAAGCAATCAAAGGATCGGATGGCCCCACCTGGCTAACTTGTTTTGAATTGCCCTCACGTGAAGAGCAACCCTTCAACTAAACACGAAACCCCAAGACAGAAACAAAATCACTAAGACTAAGGTTCTAGTTTAAGGCTTTTAAGGTTTATTGCTCAGGTTTCGGGTCTAAACCCTCATAAGCTTCACGCCGCACGCCTGAACTCTGAACCTCAAACCTTAAACTCTAAACCCTTCAGCTAAACCCCAAAAACGAAACACTAAACCCATGGGCCTAAAAAACCTAAAGGCAAAACCCTAAACCCCAAGACTGGATACAGTTTCGATGCTCACACTCGCACAGGCAGACAAGGGTTCAATGTCCGTCGAAGTAACCACATGGGGCCAAAGGGTGACACCGGCAGGACCGAGCTCCAACATATGCATATGTACATATATATATATATATATATGTATACACATATATATACGTATATATTTATACCCAGTCCATGCCGTGATCCCGTTTGCCACGAGACCCAACATGCGCAACAAGTTAGATCAAAAAAGTAGCCGATATAGACACCCTCTACTCCAACATGCATACACGTCGTACTGGTCAAAATAGCTCAATCCGAATTTAGCTCTGGGAACCATATGATTCCCACATGTACTGCACCATAGCTGCCGTAGCAAGGAGACAATTGCAGCCAAAGTTCACACTGAATTCGAAAATTACATGCATTCACCATCAATTCGCATACCAACACATACTGCAGCAGCAACCAGAAAGTCACTCTGCAGCACAGAGGTCACGGGAACTCCGTCATGACATGCAGCCACGAACACGTCGCTTGCCAACACATACTGCTATGGCGGCCAGAAAGTTGTTCTGGAACACAAAGGTGGCGGGTCTCGACCAGAAGCGCACCAGAATGCTCTTGCTGGTGCTCCAGACTCGCCCCATTGGTCCATGCACCAACATCACCGTCAATCAAACAAGATCTACCAAATATCTCAATTCTGCTGCACGCAACTCGAATTTGCACTCGGGCTTGTCCTAGTTCAACTCTTGCTGTTCCTTCTTACTGTCCCACAGCAGAGGATGGGCCGGCACCATTTTGCCATGGCTGAAGGTTGAGCTTTTTTTGTTCGTGAGGGACTGCATGTTACCATCGAAGCAGGCAGTCGGCTGTACAGCTGCACGGCTGAAAACACAAAGGGCCATCGCTGGCAGCTAAAAGGACAGTCTCAAAGCAGCACGGCAATGTACATTTGGGATCGGGCGTAATCTCCGGGGGTTTCGAAAAGACCCGAGGGCATCAATCAACACAGAGAGTTGCTGTGACCGGAAATGTCGGCATCCCACGGGCCCCGCCAGGGACCCCAAAGATGCCAAAGGCGTCGAACTGAGAATAAGGGCCCCCAAGAACGGTGTAGTCAACCAGCATCTCTGGGGCCATGAAATTCCACAAAACGCTGCCTGCCAGATGTTCTCGCAGGCATGCAGGGACTTGTGCCGCGAGGTGTATTGTGTATTGCGTTATCGCGTCATAATACCACGCGCATGTAGCGCGGGCCTTTCTGCGCCACTGCTTGTCGGATTGATTAGTGGAGACGTCGGGCCACGCAGTCTCCAGCTGCGGTGTCAGCGCTGGGACATCATGCTGCTGAAACAAACTCAGGGGCTCTCGCTTGACCTCTTTGGGATCTGTGTTATCTGGGACAGCAAACCCAGACTCTCAAGTCATGCAACGCACAATAAGGGAACGAACGAGATTCCGCGTGTGACGCCACGTGGTTTGGACCCATCTCGGAAGGCGAACGCTCAGCACCAGTCGGCGAAGCGAGCGTTTCAGCAAACCCCGCTCACGATTGATTGCCACTCTTGCCCCTATGATTTCAAGTTCCGGCCAACTCAAGCAAGGGAGTTTATTTCGTGTGCATGCCAGAGTGTGTCGGGTTACTTGCAAACCTTGATCCTCTTGGCGCTGTCCAGGATCCGAAACGTGCCACTTGGCTGAGCTGACTCAAATGCAGGCTTGATCTGAATGCGTGATCCGATGGGGCGAGCTGATTCAAGATGATTCAAGGCACATCTGACCCCTTACCTGCACCTTCGCGCATGCTACCCAAAATCTCGCAGCCACATTGAAAGTGCAGCAACGGCCTGGCCGGGCAAGCTCTGAGCGCTGCCGGAAAGCACTTCACCGAGTAATCCGATCCCACGCAGAATTCTGGACCTGTAACAGGCCTGCCGTAAACCTTTCGTGCCAGCTCCAGTACTCATCACACGCCCAGCCAAGACAGGGCTCTGGCACCGTTCGAGAGTATGGTTTGCTTGAGCCGATGACTTTGGGACAAGCGCTTGCACATACCTCTAGACGATCGCACGAATACATCATGGCTATCCTTCTCTTTCTTTTATCCCATTTTTATTCCTTACCGCAGGGCATACTGTTAATCGACTAGGCAACTACCGCTGTGAAAACCAACAGCCCCAGCATTGACAGGAATCGAGATGCTTCCCCAAGCCAGCTGGATTTTCATTGGTGTGTGGTCAATCTTAGTACTGGAATCGACGCTGCCCCGAGCCGGCTGGATTTTCATCGGGGCTAGTACATGGAATCGACGTTTTCGTGAGCCCGCCGCATTTTCAGATGGGTTTGTAGTACAAACTTAGTACGGGAATCGATGAGATGCCTGACGCCAGAATCCGCCAGAAAGCGTGGCCAAGTGCCTGTCCCTCAAACACCCCACAGCAGGAGCCAAATTTGTCGTTAATTTTTTCTTTGTCGTGGGCCAGAATCCGCCGCAGCTCCTGAAGTTAAGGGGCGTGGCATGGCGTGGCAAAACCCGCACGCAATAACCCGGGGTGTTTATCATCTCCCACATGTATACTTCTTGTATACTACCCAAGCCGCACAACCAGGAAGTCTCGAAGGATGCTACCAAACAAGGAAGATATCAATAGAGAAAGAACCTCCCGCCCTCAAATCCAACAAATGCCCACAACTTCCCTGCACCTTGCAGTCCCTCCTGTCGCGCGTCGCAAAAACCCATAGCGTCCCATCCTGGACCGCCATGGAAGGCTTGCGCAGCACTTTGCACAGCTGGTGCATTTGCAAACCTTCTCGAGTGTTCTGAAAGTGTTCTGGAAGTGCTCTGCGTGTGCTCTGAAAGTGTTCTGAAAGTGCCGTCCCGGCCTGATCTGCTGCAATGACACGGGACCTCAGCTCTTCAAGACGACTGCGGCAAAACAGTGGAAAACGCTTCAGGATTGTCCTCAACTCAACAACAAGGGGCTGCAGAGCAGTGTCGGTGACGGCCACATGGACCAGTGAGGCTTCATACCTGTTGATATCTTTTCCTCATGAACTCTTTTATGCTTCAGCCTTTATGCTTGCAAGCGCTCTGTGGTGGCTGTGTTATCTGATGACCTGACAAGAATGTACGAGAAGCCGAGAAGCCTTTTCATCCTGAATGCGAGACCGACAGGACGAAAGCAGAAGTAGTTGAGATCTTAGCACACGTGCAAGCGAACGACCATTGATAGTGAACTGACCCTGTGATGCGGCACGAGCTCGCAGGCCATTCGCGGACAGGTATCCACCCCGGCTCAACCGGCTCACTTCAATAATCCTCTTTTCAGAATGTTGGCATGCTCCCGCACACCATCGCCGTAGCGGCTTAATGTACACTTTGCGGGAACAAGCGGTCAGACTGAAGCAAGACCCAAAAACGATCGAACGAGGACTGCACGGAGTCGGCACAGAGTGCAGATTTGATCGGTCCATGGAAAAATCAGAAGCCAGAACGGCTCAATCGGAAACCAGAACGGCAAAATCGGAAGCCGGAATGGCAACATCAGAAACCAGAGCTGAATCAGAAACCAGAAGAGGATATTTCGGAAACCAGGACGGCTGAACGGAAACCAGGACGATTTCCACCCCCCCCGTACTCTACTGTCTGGTGCGCAGTTCGATGTGCAGTTTTTGATGCGCAGTTTCCGATGCGGACCAGTTTCTTACTTGCTGTTCCTGATTGGCTTGTGATTCGTAATTTCTGGTTCGTGGGCTGCTTTCTGAATGAATGCAGCATGCAAAAACAAAGCTGCATAAAGCTTCATCGCAGCCCCTGCGCAGCACGCACAAGCAAGCGTTCCCATGGCTTTGAGGCGCACTTGTGGCAAACGAAACTCCGCGCCTGGAGCCGACGCAGCACTTGAACGGCTTGCGTCCAACATGTCGAACATCAAGCGGTCAAAAATCATGTCAGAGCAGCGGTCGCTTTCTCCAAGTCGATGAAACCCCACCTCGCACCATTCGGGGCATGACGTCTCATTGACAATGGTTGACATCTGAGAGCCGTGCTGGTGGCCAGCCACATATACCACGTTTCCCAGATGCGCATTTATGTCAGCAACCTCAAGGCATGGCCCATGAAGCCTCTCCTCACAAACCGGTGCAATTAATTGGGCACTCACGGGTAAGCCGCTGCTGACCCGAATCCTGCAAGTCCAGTGACTTGGAATGTCGCAACAACGCCCCCAAGCAGACATGACCAGTACACCCATTTCTTCCCCGCACGCTTGAAGCAGCTGTGTGTAGAGATCTAAATTGCCGGCAGACATTTCAGGCTACTGCAAATCTCTCAGGGTTGAAGGGTTCTCTGCCTCGGGTGCGCGCACGCGAATTGTACTTTGTCAAGCTTGTCGAGCACAGCAGAGAAACAAACAGTCTCAGTCCAGCTCGGCCCAGGCAAACCACGCGTCCAGACCCCCTTCCAGTCGCCACACTCGTGATGCATCCAACCCAAAGACGTCCTCACACTTGGCCACGATCACAATCCGGATTTTCACTGGCTCTGGGATGCTCTGGGCACATGGTGGTACCATGTTGTACATGTCAAGGCAGATCCCGCACAAAGTGCAGCCTAGTAAACTTTGGAAATCCCTGTCTAGCGGCCAAACAGTTACGACTGCAGTACGATCAGTTGGACCACGCATGTTGCTCACTCAAGTTGCTACAACTCTGCCAACTCTGCCGCAAACTCCTGCAGCTAGAGGGCACTTTGACTTCGATTTCTGCTGCACGAGAAGCACGCGATTAAGAAAGCCGATGCTTTGCACACTTCCTCGGACCATGATACCACTGATGCCATTTCGTTGGTTCTCTTGCACGTGTACTTGCGCTCAACCTTTTGTCCAGCATCAAGGCTTCAAGCCATGCGCTTTTCCCACGCGCTTTCCTTCTGTAACCCCAAGACTCGAACTGTCTGAAAGGCACGTGGCCAACGCATCGAGAGAGAGAGAGAGACAAAGAGAGAGAGTAGTCAGACACACGGTGGCTTATATTCAGCCGGTGCCACATAGCAGAAAAAAACAAAGCAAACACGGATGTGCCATGGTCCAGACACTGTCGTTGCAACATGCCCAAGACATGAAAAGGCGATTCATGAACATCAAGGCGTTCTTGGGATCAGCAGACGTCATGTGGAGCATCGAAAAAAGGATAACATATCCAAGTCGTCATGTCAATTGTAAATCGATTCCGAATTGGAGTTCTAAGTTGCTGAACTTGTAAACGCTTGTAATATTCATCACCTTCTACGACATACCGACCAGCGCGAGCACATGCGCGCGATAGGCCTGGGCTTGCGGTTACAGCAGTGTTACAGCCAACCACGTAAAGAGGGCCCAAATGGGTTTTGACTGTTCAGGGACTCGACAGCTTGCATGTTCACAGCAACTGATCCTGCCGCATCCTGCCACTATATCTGCCCACCGAAAAAGCTTGACCCTGTGCACATAACACGTCGAGATGCAAGCAACTGCTGCTGCTGCTGCCAGTGATAAGTAATGCCGGTCTGACGCTGTGATTCGTCTGATGTACTGAGGCTGGGTCAATGAGCAGGGCGGCACACATACCTTGGCTTGTGCTGAATGTCATCGGAGTTGCCAGTAAGACGGCCAACAGCAATCAACAGCGAACTAGGCAAACAGTAGACAAAGGCACCACAGTTCCCACTCGTCCCACCATGTGTGGAGAACGTCACAATGTCGCATGTGTTGTCTTTAAGCTGGGACAAGTCCTTCAGCAAAGTGTGAGGCAAAGCCCTCAAGTCGCCGAAGCCAATGCGAAGTGATTTTGGAATCTGGGTTGCAGTTGCCCTTCGCTCGTACTTGGCCTCCACTGCCTCTCGGCAGTCCAGCAGCACACACTTCTTCGCTTGCAGCCAGCTGGCCAACTCAGCAGCTTCAACCTCTGGAATGCAATCGGGCACGGAGTTTGCGTTTCCTTCATCATAATCGTGCTCCCATTCGTCCACCGCTGCTCGAACCAGCTCCTGACAAGTTGAAGGAAGGCATGAACATCATGAACCCAATTTTGTATTGCACCACTACATGGTTCTAAAGCCACGGTCCTTCGAGGCAGTAGTGCACAGCGGCCAAGCCTTTTTGTGAGGACCAGCTGTGCCAGTAGTGGCAGTTCCAACTGCGACCTTATCAGTATAGGCTTCCTTTGCTACCGCAGCCAAACCATCAACATAAGCCTTGTGCACCATCTTAAACACTTCAGCATCCGCATGGGATCTGCTTTTGTCTGGGTGATGAAGGCGGGCCAAGTTGTGGTAGGCCTTCCTCACACTTGTGGGATCGGCCTCGTGCAAGTCCAGCACTTTCTGCCACCCTTCAAGGGACGCGGCCTGAATACGACGGCGGGACCTTTCAAGCTCATCGCGCCCACCACCATCCTCCACTGCCGAAAGCCAGTCCCTCGTCCCTGATATGTCTTCCGAGGATCTGCTCACCTCGAGCATGTCCAGCTCATCGAAATCCCAGCTCATGGTCGATTGATGCAAGTGATGCACGAGGTCGCAGGATTTAAGATCTGCATCGACACGTTTGTCCAGAGAAGCATGGTCAGCGCAGCATGGTGGTATCGAAATGCGCCATGCTACTAATAATCTAATCGGGACCTGCGGGGAGGTGAGCAGCTGGAGCCTCGGTAAGAAAGCTGCAGGCCACCGGCCATGGCCCTCATGTTCAGACGCCTTCCTTGAACATCCCACGCCTGCCGTGCAGTGTTCCATTTCGCGTGAAAACCTGAGCCCGCTTTTATCTCTTCAAGACAACGCAAGCATGCAAGACAATTTGCGCCATTGTGAGCCAGCAGCAGAAATCCAACCAACCTCAACAAGATATGCGCCACAGTCACCACGATCATCACACATCGTACTTTGCTGCAAGTTCAACACAAGCTTGTGGCTGAATCACCCGCTACGAAATACTTGACGCCCTGGGCGGATGTCATGATGAAGGCCTCGGTACAATCACACGGCCCAAGAGGAAGCCAGCAAAATGCTCAAGTAGCATGCCGTGGCTCTGGCGGTCAGTTGCGGCGGCTGGGATGACTGGCTCAGATTTGTATCAGCCACCAGCGGAACTTTAGTTGCCTGCTTCAAGAATCTTCAAGACAAGGGCTGCGTCATCTGAGCCCGACAGAGCTTGAGGCAACGGCCAAATGGAATTGCACTGTGATGTTCGCGGGCGATCCCAGGTGACTCGAAACCCTGCGCGGCATCTACTCACATGTTCTATCTTGTCCAAGAGAACCTCGCGCCATGCCAATATGGTGACGAACACGGAAACTCGTTCCGCGACTTCGGCCCAGCTTCTCAATACAGTAAGGTTTCATTTTTCATCATGTCGCATCGCACTGCCCTGCATTCTCAAGGTGCTCACCTTTGCCACACCTTTGGTGCAGGCAGGGGCGCAACAACCTTGAAAGCGGACGTTGCTGCAGATTCTTGCTAGAAGCTGCTAGAAATGACCTGAAACACCGCCTCTGTGTGGTGGTTCGTGGCCAATGTAGCAATGCAATGCCAGCCTGCCTTGGTCCCTTCATACATCTTCATACCAATGAAGCCCCGGATACCACATCTTTGCACGAGTTGTGGCTGCCCTGGCTATGCCGATGCAGTACCAGCATTATTCAGCATATATGTTGGCCGCGGCTGGACCAAAACGTAAGAATATGGACGAGCTGAAGATGAAGACATTCTACAGGTTGTATACAGTCGAGCTCAATTCTTGCTGTCCCCTACAACATTAGGCCCAGAACCACCAACAGCAGTAGCGGCCAGCAGCAAGCGTAATGCGCAAGCTGCTGTGGAAAACTATATGCTGAGATATGCTGAGGTCACAACGGGTCACAGTTGTGCACAGTACTACACACAAGTGACATAGTGACCTGCACCTGGAAGGCTTCGGTCCAGGCGTCCTAATGCCCTGAGTTGGAAGCCCGTCAAATCATGAGAATGCTGTCATCACACATCGCATGCTGGCAAGTTCGCAACAACAACAAGAGCGTGCCGAAACTTCCCCCATCAAGTGTGAGCTTGTAGCCTCCCATGGCTACTTTAAGCATCCATGGAAGGCGCGGCATGTGTATCTATGCACGCTTTTCGAGGTCGTTGGCTTCCGTTGGGGCTCACTTTAAGGCACTCCACATCAAATAAGTGCGAAGCTGGTTCGCTGCTCCTTCAGGGCATGCAGCAGGGATGCAGCATGCAGTTGTGGTGAGCCTGCGGACTGCGAGGCAGTGATGTGACCCTTGTGCTCCCAACCGTTCTCAAATGCTCTGCGGGTCTTATGGCGGCTTCTGAGTCACTGATTACAGAATTTGCTCAGCCAAGGTTCCCGAATCTTCCGCGCTTGTGGCGACTCTGGCTCCAGGTTTCGAAACCTCTTCGACACACGTTTTCGGCACTTGCTACAATGCTACAAGAGTGCCCCCCCCTTATGGGGGTGGGGGGGTGGGGGTGGTTCGGAAATAGGCGGGAGACTGTAGCAAGGCATGTTCTCTCAGAAAGGCACTCGGACAGAAACCATTTTAGCGCGAGCTGTCTTCACCGGCGTCTGTGTCTTGCGTGTCTGATTTCAAACCTCGATCCTGAGTGTACGTTTCAGGGCCAAATTGAGTTGGTGAAGTGTGGCCCCGGGAGTGTTGCTCGCCCAAAGTGGCTAGGCACAGCCCACATGTGACAGTTTGTCCTTTCTTGTGTCTGTTCCTGAACCTACAACACGACGGCGGGTGAAATTCGCAAGACCTCAATGAGTTTCACCCGCCATCGTGTTGCAGCAGGTTCCGGAACAGACACAAGAGGGACAAGCTGTCACATGTGGGCTGTGCCTATCCGCCCCAAAACCCCCTCGCCTTCCCCGCCCATTTGGCATGCGCGTGGGAAGCCTTTATCCCAGCTGCAGAGGGCGGGGGAAGGGGACTATAGCGTGCAAAAGGCCCTGTCTGGCTGTCTGTGGGACGTGTTGTGCGACTGTTAGGATGTTTTCTGGCTGTCTGTGGGACCCTGGGACCGGGAACGCCCCAAAAATAGGCAGGAAGGAGGGGGGGGACTGTGGCGCGCAAGAGGCCCTGCCCTTTATGACCCACCCCAAACCCCCGCCCTCGCCGCCTGTTTCTGGCATTTTCTGGCTGTCTGTGGGACCCCTATAGGATCGGGAACGCCCCAGAAATAAGCGGGAAGGAGGGGGGGGACTGTAACGCGCAAGAGGCCCTGCCCTTTACGACCCACCCCCACAGCCACGGCTCGCCGCCTATTTCTGGCTGTCTGTGGGACCTTCGTGGGACTCATAGGACAAGAAAGAAATAAGCGGGAAGGAGGGGGGGGGGATTGTAGCGCGCAACAGGCCCTGCCCTTTATGACCCACCCCAACCCCCCGTGCCTTGGACGATTAACGTCTATTCTGCGCGTGCTCTTTGTTTTCTTGGATTCTTCCCTTCTGAAATTGGGTTCTCGTTTGAGGCGTTCTATCGGATCGCTTCTTGGAGGAGTTTTGACGTGAGCACAGCTACGCAGGACAATTTAGGAACTGATCCTTCACCAAACCAGCCCTGGACCCTGAAGCCCAAAAACTCAACCCCTTTACATCCTCAAGACACCAACCCTTCAACCTCCGAACCCAAACCTGGAACCCCTTAATTAAGCCTTAAGCCCCTATCCTCTAAACTCCTCGTCGAAAGGAATGAGTTGGGCTCTACATCCCATGCTGTTTGTTTAACATGACAGGCAGCCCCATAACTTAAGTTAACCGATAATTCCCCCCCCACTGCAGCAAAATAAGCGGCGGGGATGCCCGGAAATAGGCGGCAGTGGGGGAAACCCCCCCCTCATTCCCAGATTTTTAAGGGGGGGCCGTGCTACAAGGCTCAAGTGTGTCAGGAACTGAGGGCACGACTTTGACATGCTCGGCTGGTTCCTCGACACAGCTCTAGCGAGAGAAGCATTCAGCATGTGGATCACCGGGAGGTTTTCTGACACAATTGCACTCCGAGGTGCATGACGCTGCGGACAGCTGACTTTGCACATGCCGGCTGTGTCACAGTTGCTCGCATGGAGCGAGGAGATGCCCTCAGTCATAGGTCAAACAAACTTCTGTTGGAAGGAGGGGCAAGTGAAGCAAAAGTGAAGCAAGTCATCCGCTGAGCAAACTGATTCTTGGCCGGGAGCCAGCTGGAAGGACTGCCATCGTCATGCTTCTTCAGTGGTATCCCTGCAGCCAAACGCACTTGGCCAGAAGCCAGGTCAACCTCAACTTGGGCACGGTCAGCATGTGATGCCGGAACGTGCCGGAAACCTCCATCCGCAAGACCCCCCAGGTGGCTGGGAGTCCAACTCGCTTTCGCTCTGAAGCCGTTAAAGTTGGGGAAGGTAGGTCACCCATGGACTTGCTTGACTGAAGCTCCCGCCTCACAGGGTGCTTCATTGCACATCATTGCACTGCTCGTGCCTAACGGCTGCAGGGACTGGCCTTCGACGAGCGATCTCCGCAGACGCTTGCATGCCAGACCTCGCTTCAAACATAGCGGGCCAATTTAATGCGAGCCATCAAGTTTACCACAGATCCAACTTCAAGATGCTCGAAACATCTGCACCCCCAAAACACATGCCAGTGGACGATCCGCTGCAGACTCGCTCGTCCTGCACCCATCCAAACAGAGGAGCTGAAGCTGCCCCATGCGTTCATGTTACACAATGAATCACGCCTGCCAGATCTTCCTGCAATGTTCACTTTCCATTGACAACCTGAGGTGACATGATGTTCGCTGGGTGTGCCGTTCACAGACTTGGTGCCTGGCCTGGGAGATGATTGGTGGATCAAAGTGCCTGGACCACAGATGTCACAGGGTCTTCGAGTCTTCGAGTGTGGTCTGATGCTGTGACACTTGCCACTGGTCAATACGGCCAGGCGCCTGCAGTCTCCACGGCGTCGCCCTCTTGACCCCCACGTCCTGGCCAGCTTGAGAACTCGAAAAGGGAGAGGAATTTAAAGAAAGTCTTCACTGATTCACATTTCTAGCTGAACGAGTCAGAGTAAAGATGGCCGAGCCAAGAAAGCCTTTTTGTCATCCAACACTGGCTTGGCCCCCCTTAAGCTGTGGAACCCGCCCAGGCGAAGGCGATTCGAAGGGTTCCTTCCAGAGTTTAGATTTTCAAAGAGATTTTTTCATAGTGCAGTTCAAAGAGAGAGCCAAAGCTCAAACATATGGGTCTGAAGGTCACACTGTTGAATGTATTGAACCAACATGAAGATAATATACCTCTTACTTTTGTACTGGGCTGCAAGGGAGATCGTGGTACTGAGGCAGGCTGTACCTCCGCCGACCCCACATTACCGACCTTCTGGTTGCCTGGTGCCCCACAGCACTGGGCGACAATGATTCAGCAAAGGCATTGTGAGTGTCGTGCCCATTCCCATGCCAAGACCCAATGCCATTACAAGGCCCGAAGCCGAAAATAACGATTTTCTTGATGGCACAGCACCTGTAATGATTGACAGATGCGCGCCGCCAGATTCGCCCCATGGCACGGGCAACACGTCTCAACATGCAGGGGCATGCGAGTCATGCGAGCTCGAATCGACGACACTTTGCTCAGAACTGTCGGCAGGCCCTGGACTCACTGCAAGCGTCTCATGATGGGAATGGCTGGGTCGTGGGCTTTGTTGGCGCTGCGCGTTCTTGCGCGATATTTCTGTGGTACTGTTGGCCCAATACGTTGTCGCCACGTCGTGCCTCGCAGCATGCGCATCTGTGAAAACGAAATAAAAGTGCAAAAAGATCCGTGAAGCGGTTGCAGGACGTGCCCGAACTCCTGCCGAGATGCATCTCACTGCGCCTTGGAGATCTCGCAGCCGGCATGTCAAAGCTCCTGTACTGAAATGGGCAGTGAAACGTGCTTGCGGCTGCTGGCTGGACATCGCTATACCAACCCTAAGATGCGTTCTAGCCCAACAGGGGCTGTCTGCTCCTCAGGTCAGTGAACTGGCTATCGCTGCGCCTGGACGCATCATTGGTGCTGTCACCTCGGGATGGGGTGTCCAGATGGGCCAGGGATCTGCAGCTGCAGGGCAGCTATTAAGCCGCCCTGGCAGCCACCGGAAGTTTTACAAGTGCACTCTACAGATCACTTTGCCCACCTGCATCGTATGCCAATATGCCGAGCATGACAGCCTTCCTTCGTCACGAGAACGTCGCAGGCTGGCTCTTACATCGCAGCCAAAGCTCGGAATGCCACGATCGTGCTCCGTGGACTCATGGATGTGGTTGGTTGCACGGGCTTGCGCGCGCTCAGTGGGCCTCAACATGAGCATGTATCTGAATGTATCTGTGTCGACAGCCAAAACGGTCAGATGATCGGACGAGCAATGGGAGTCCCGGCTCTCTTCTGAAGTTGCCATGTCGTTTGCTTTGTACTCCCGTGCGCTGAGAGGCAGCCTCTCACATCCAGAAATGTCCCCGTGAGCAGCTGAGCACTGAAATCCACCGCCAACACACACGTTCTGCATGCTTTTGCAAAGCGTTCGCCCTGACAGCCTTGTCTCTTGCGGTGAATAGTTTCGCGGTGACAGTCCGGCCCGAGCCACAAGCTTGGGCACGTAATGGGTTGGCCTTATGGCTTCTCATGGCTTCTCCAAGCCTTCATACACGCGATGCACTCGGCAACGAGTCCCAGCAGGTGCAAGCCCAAGCAGCGAGGTCTTCGACGAGCCACCAAGCACCTGCGATTGCAGGTCGCGCTGCTTGCGTGCCTTAGCAGGATTCCGTGTGACATGGCATTTGACACTCTGCTCTTCGCATGCCGCATGACTCCTCTTGATTCTTGCAAGAGGTAACCGAGGACACCGCAATGCAACTGAGTTGGGTCCAGGATTCGCGCGCGTCCTCCCATGAATTGACCACCACGTACGCATCAAAAACACTTCGCCTCACACCTCCGATTCACCTCGCCCCGAGTCCTTGTGCCGAATGAGCTCGCCGCGGGTGTCCAAAGAGCTCATGTTCGAGCTCTGTGTCCAATACTCGTTCTCTGTTTTCAAGTCGACACCTTGGAAGCTTCCGAACATTCGCAGCATGCCATCGTAGTGAAATATAATCATAATAGTGCCGTGGCAATTGCAGTCCACTTGTGCTACAGAGCGTCGGTTTGCTTGCCTAAGTAGCGCATCGGGACAATGAGTGCATAGGCTGGCATTTCATCAAACATGTCGTGTGCTAGAGTGCTTAGCATGTGCTTAGCCAAGACTCACTGGACGGTCATCCTTAGTCCCGGAGAGTGGGCAGACAACAGCAGCTGTTTTCTGAGGTTGGCAAACACGGGTGACACATGCCCTTGTGCTGAGGCTGCACGAGCAAGGCTGAGTCGAGAGCACTTTCGATGAAGAACTGGACACTCGCACCCTTCTTGGGGGATCCATAGCCCTTTCGCCTCACCAGGTTTATCACAAGACCAGATGCTCAGCGACATGGAAGATGTCTGAATGCTTACTCAGCGGCGGAGACCCATCAGTCACTTGGACAGTTCCACTACCTGAGTTGGCTAGGTGATCTGGATGACAACAAACAGACGTGCAAACACGAGACAAGCATGAGAACACCAGGACTTCGAGCACAAAATCAAGGATCAGTTGGACCCATGCATATGTTGAAGTGAAGATCACCCAAAACGCTACAGCTCGACACAAAGAAATCTCGAGCTCATGAACGAGAAATGGAAACATCTCTTTGTGGCCTGGCCCACGTTGGCTTCAAAACAGGTTATAATTCGTACATAAGCTACAATTGTCCGCACAGCCTTAACGATCGCAGCCGGTCACTCCCCTCATCATTGCTCAAAGACCGCCTAACAGTAGATGTAGTGTTTTGGGCTTGAAGGTGACTGTGCGCCCTAATGCATGAAGCTGAAGCAAGACAGTCAGATCTAGTCGAACTTAGACAAGGCATGAGAAGTCATTGAAACTTTCTCGAAGGCAGCTCAGTGCAGTGCTCCGCAAATGCCTCAACAAGACGTTGCCCTTGGGTCCCTAGACTCTGAAAAAATATTTGTGGTCTGTCGCGATTAAGCTTACAAATTCTCTTTGCAAGGTGACATGCCCCAGACAAATTTCAAGGAACTGCCAACACTGTGCCATGTGATGCTGCTCATTTAGCCCTGTTATGAAAAGTCCAGCCAGGGTGCCTTGCAGCATGGTTGCCTCATCAAAACACAAGCATGCACCCATGTGCCATTCATCTCCCTTTAATCGAAAATGACTGGCCAGAACTGTGAGGCACGCCTTGCAATCGCGAGGGCTCGGCATGTTTATGTGGCCCTTCTCTTGCGCAGATCTCGCCTTCCGGCCGACACAGAACCAAGCACACTTTCATGAGGTCGTGGTAAGACAGCTCAGCTCGCCTTCTCAATAGCACCACTGACCTGCTTCTGCCTGCACGGGTCCTGAAGCGAAAGTCTCACATGACCCCAAGCTGCAACTTTGCACATCCCAAATCGCTATGAAACTGTTGGGTCGGTTGAAGCCTTCTAATTCTACCTGGACCTGCTTACGACTGGCTGCCAGGCTTGAACAACACCCATCAGCTTCGATCTGCTGACAGATTCCCGAGTAGCACATCCTACAGATTCCTACAGCCTACAGCGTTGAAGCCAAGTGCCATAGGGTTCTTTCTGTCCGCCACCAGCGCGCCGTTCATGGACAAAGATGACGCATAGATCGTCTGCCATCACACTTGGGGATTTGATCCGCGAAGTCTGAAGAAGCATGTAACAAACCAGAAGAACAGAAAGAATGCCCTTGCTCTAGCTCAGTGGCCTGCTTCCGCTGTCGTGGTGTTACAGGCTCTTGCGCGCTTTCTGAACTCTGTACCTGGGACTGCGCCGGCACGGCAAACCAGGCCCAGAACCTGTACTTAGGCCCAGGGAAAGGAAAGACCATAAAAGACTCAACTTGCATCAAGTTGCGGCATTTGGCATCAAAATCTCTGCTGGCCAAGCCGGACTGACAACCATGGCGACAAGTACGAGGAGATGATGATGCAAGATCGCAGCTCTATGCTGTGAGCAATGGCGGCGAAGCTTGCTTGCATCGCACATGTTTTGCAGTGGGGAACGTGTGCTGAAGAGGATGGGATCGATTGGCGTGGTTGTGAGTGAGAAGCCAGCAAGACTCAGGCTGGTCGCACTTCTCCTCATCGGGATTGGTGACTCTGCGCCTGCACAAGTCAGCAGGCCACCCAATACAAGAGTGCTCTGTAGACTCTACAGACTCTATAGCGTTCAGATATGTTCAGTTAGGTCATGTTCCTATCTCGTGTTCATCAGCTCTGTGGCTGCTCGGCTTGCGGCCTTTGTTCTTGCGGGCCACGCCGAGGGCGCACAAACAGCCGATGTACCCGCATCACACCTGCTGAGTCCACAGTCCTCAGCGAACTGACATGTGCCCCTGCAAATCTCCAATGGCAGTTCACAGATTCGGTGAGTACGGCAGCACGCGTAACACACTAGGTCATCGTCGCAATGGCGTACTCATCCTGTAAGTTTGCAAGGTTTCAGTGGTCTGCATATTTCCAGCAAGTTTGCACAGAGGCCTGCATCGGTGATACGGCCATTTGCGCAACTGCCTGCATTCCCTAGATGCTAGGAGTGTCTCTCGACAGTCGAGGTGAATCCAGAACACCGCTATCAGCCGCCATCCTGCTTGTGCCCAGATGGGAAAGCCAACGCAAGGTCGCCCGACCTCCAGGCATTGCCATCCTCTGCTGTGAGGTGCCTATGCAGCCACCAGTCTGAGTGGCAAGCACGGTGTACAAACAAATGTCGCCATCCGTCTGAACCTTTGAGAGCACGCTGTCATCCCAGATGTTATTCAGATACATACGACTATGGACGAGGCACGGAGTATTCAGGCTTCAGAGTCGGTCGCTTGCATCATGCCTGCCCTTTTGAGCAGGTGTCGTCTGTACACTGTACACCAATGCTACATTCTACACGTAGCTACGCCGCTCGACTGATTCCGACTGCCACGGGTAAAACAACTGCTGCAATAGCTGCTACGCGGCAGCACTGGGCAGCGCCTTTGGTTGATGCGGCAGCTGTTCGCCAAGGCATGCCTTTCGCCACGTCCGTCTCCAAGACTCATCTGTTTGAATGTGGTTTGCCCGGACGAACTTGCCGATGCTCGCAGCAAATGATCTGCCCGGAATGGCGGATGCATGTCGAACCACAAAGCCTGCAGGTCAACTTGAAAGTAGGTCGCATGTGAAGTATAGACCCTGACTGTTGTGCGTGGCAGGTGCATGGTTTTCAGAATGGAATTCGACCGAGCCTTCTGGAGTTGTGTTGGCACCTAGTGCTGATGGCTCCGTCTGCCATGCCTCCAGACAACATTGCAGCTCCTTCTCGGATGAAAGGACGCCACGAAAAACCTCCGGCACCTCGGTCAGCGTGGCATAGTGGGTACAAAGACTTCGTATCTGGCTCCTGCCATTAATGTCCAAGCAATGAATCAAAACTACTTGCTGCTACCGGCTAATTAGTGGGGTCCCATGTCACGTATGAATGCATTTACAGCACCGCACTTCGTGGAATACCTTGCCACGCGTGCTGTTCTAAAGCCCACGGCCATTCTACTTTCAAAGAGCCGCACTGGTCCTATGCAGGCTTCAGCACACAAAACTCAACAGCTGTAAACCACTGCAAGAGCTGTAGCTTCTACGTAGCCCAAAGGTTCATGGCCAAAGAAAAATTTGTCTTATCTCCTGACTGTTTCCAGCAGATCCAAGGCACAGTAGGGAGGCCTAACCCCTTTGCCAGCGCCAGAGTGTCATCCCAGCTTAACCAGTCACCAGCTCGACGAGCTGCAAACACCTGGCGCGCACGCAATCGCACAAAGCTGGTCCGAAGTCGATGTGATGCGATATGCTGAGAGATGCCGCAAGATGCTGCAAATGTGACAGAAGATGCATGCCCCAGTGGCGTAAAAGTAGTTCGCCAGGTTGCCGTACTCGATGCTGTGCACTGCTTGCATGTTCTCTCCAAAGAGCTCCACGTCTCCTAGCGCATCGTTCTCGATGCACGCGGCTAGCTCTTTTACTGCCGAGAAGGATGCATGCTCCGCTGGCTGAGCATGCGTCCGGCCAAAGACCTGTGGCCTGTAAGCTCTGCTTGCAACGTCTGCCTTGATGCAGCAGTTGCCCCCATCTAACTTCTCAGTAATTACAACTTCACACGTGAGAAGCTGCTGGCAGTCTGAGGCACGCGTGTCATCGGGGTTGATACCCGGAGAAAAAGGAAGATGCGGTGTCTTCGGGTAATTTGCTTTGGTGGCAGTTGCCGACTCTCCATCGTTCGGATAGCCCGGCGGGGCCATGCTCGTCTTTGAATGTTCGCACAAAGCACCCCTCTTCCTCTGACAATGAGAAAGTGCTTTCAGTACACGAGCATGCTCGACTGCATGCTGTTCGGGAGGCAACATATGGAGCTGACTTTTTGCAAGCTCAAGGGCCGGAATTGCCTCTTCATAGCGGGACAGCATAACCAAAGCAAATGCGCGACTCCGACGGCCGATTTCATCATCTTTGTGCAGTTGCAACAAACGGTCAGAAAATGCCAGAACCTCATCTGGTCTTTTCAGTCGTCCGTGGAAGAGGCATGCCGCTCTCAAGGCTCCAGCCTCCAAGTCCTCATTTTCAGCCCCTTCAGCCCCCAGCAATGCCGCGGACGTCAACTGCTCCATACTGTCCTCGTAAAACGGAAAAGCGGCAGCAGCAACAGCAGACAATAAACACGATGCCTCCTGCATCAAGCACTGTGACGCTACGCCACTTGGAGGCGAACGCAAAGTGGCAAGGCCCTTGGCCTTGGAGTGCACGTCGCAACCTTGAAATCCTAAGGTGATGTGAAAATCCTTTGCCGGCAGCCCCAGCTTCATACGGACAGCTGCAGCAGCTGGCCAGAGCACAACCCGGAATATAGATTCACCACTTTCATCCTTGCACGAGCCCGTGCCCACATCAACCCAATCCCAGCATCTTGGCATGTTCGAAAGCATTTGTGCCATCGAGGAGGTCACCGAGACGACATCGGGATTCGGGGCCGTGGCCCCGACCTCCTCCCAGACCGCAGCAGGAATTTCAGCCAGCCTTTGCATTAAAAGTTGCAGATCACCTTTGCTAAGGAAAGTCATATGAGCATGCTGACCATCTCGCTTCTCGCGTTGTTGCTGCCAAGCGGATGGGACATCGCCGGCACCTTGCTGTGCCGCCTTCACCAGGGGTCTTTTTTCTTCATTTTCTGTCTCAAGCTACACCAACATGCAAAGGCATCTGCTCTCTCGTTCTCTATCACATCCTTCAAGAATCTGAATGCGCCGTCCTGATCAACCCGCGTTCCAGCAGCAGCCACCACTCCGCGATTGAATGCCAGATGCTGGTCATGACACGACAGGAGGGTGCCCAAGCTGTCCATCAGAGCGGCAAGGAGCGTTACGTAAACTTAAACGGTGAACATGCGCTGAAACTTGGCAAGCATATGTCAGAGGCCAGTTGCCTGCTCCACTGCTAACTTGATGCTACAGGCATGGTGCCGGTTCTGCTTCCCATTCTGCAGCACAGCGTTATTTTCAATTCATAAGTTTATCAATCATCCAAGCAGTAAGGTCGTGGCAACCACCAGAAGCACGGTGGGCATGGCAACCTAACTTGACGCATGTAAAGGAGTCGACGGCATTTCGACGGCATTTCCTGCGCGGTCTCTGCCCAGCCTGGGACGTCGGAGCGGGAGCTGACGATCTGTGGTTTCGCCTTAGCTTCCTCTGCAAGTTGTTGCAACTCCGATTCCGACATGTTCGAAATTGTTCGAAGCATGTTCAAGTGAAGTTCATTGTGCTCCGCTCTGGGCCTCGGGCAGTGGCATCAAGCCAATGTGTGTTGCAGCGGGCCTTCGATGGACTATGTTGGTGCGAAGAGAACACGCTGGTATCCTTTATCGAGTTTCCAGCTCTTGCGGGATCACCTGCAGCGTGATCAGCGTGACACATTGCAAGGTTTCGGGTAATCGTGGCATCCATTGATTGGGTTCTGCGCTGCTTTGGACACCAAGAAATCGTCGATTGCTGTAGCCGTCGAGGTTCTGCCTCTCAGGATGGAAATGGTGACCTGTAACAGTATCGCGCAAACTACAGTACGAGGACCTGCTGACTCCGAAAGCGTTGCGACAAGTCATTCCACCCGAGAAAAAGCTCAATGAAGCCGCCCCCGGACCCCGCTCTCCTTCTATGCCCCCGCAGACTTTTGAGTTGCAGCCGTAGGACCTCGAAAGGTCTTTTTGGTTGTCCGCCAACAAGTTCCGCGAATGGAAAGCCAACTATGTGCTAATGGTTTTGACCATCCCAAGGCAACACTAGGTCACTAGGTAATACGAGGACGCATCCATCACAGCTACGATCGGGGCAAACTGTACTACATTGCCAGCTCATGTCGACCCGCAATTCTCCGCACCTGTCTTGCAGCTGACCCTAGAGGGGGGCCTGTCACATACGGATTTATCAGCAAGTGAAAACGCAGTAGATCTCAGCAGACTGACCCCTTTCTTGCTGCTCCTGGTGCACGCCGGCATCTTGCCCCCAGAGTTTCGGGCGCTTACGGAGTCCACGAAAGTGTGCATGATTGTTCTGTAATCTGACGGCACGCCCAATTTCTGAAACCCTGATGTAAGGGGTACTCTGCTGTTCGCTGTAGTGGGGCTAACACTAACACTTTGCCGGCAGTGCTCGGGATCCTAGCAAGCCCTGCCGGGTTCCCAAGGACTCCTACACCGAGGTCACACTACTCTTCCCGCACAATAGTGCCCGGGATTTATAGGGATCCTAGCAGGCCTAGATGGGTTTTTGGGACTCTTGTGCTGCACAGTAAAGTCTTTTTGAAGGTTCTTTACTTCGATTTTGCGAGGAATCGAGGAATGTTCAGAAATTCTTCCCTTTGATGCCGTATGCCAGCGTACACGGCCTGAAATTCCAAACACATCAGACATTGACTCTGCGCAACAGGGCAGCAGGCCTAACCTCCTCCTGCCGCTGAACCAAGACGGCGCAGGATAATCTTGCTAGCGCGTCTGCTGAACGCAAAACGGTTCTGACAAAAACCAAACCTGTTGTTAAAGCTAGTCCGTCATGCCGATTGCAGGCAAGAACCGCAGCCGATCCCCTCGAACATGAAGACCTAAACTTTCGGAATCCTCGTTCTAGGAGGCCAACATGAATCGTTGTTTTATGCATCTACTTTGCAGTCATGATAGGACCATGAGATGCATCATTTGCTGACGATGTTGGCGCAGATTGAAGCTGCAGATGTGTATGCAGTCTCGGCTGATCCCCGAACAGACTTACTCCGGCAACAGACAAACTGCTGTGCAGCTGCATACTGTCTAGCTCTCAAGCTCTTGAAGTGACTGCGCCACTTACCGAGCAATGGGTTCCTACAGTACGCAACAGATTGGCTAGTGCATGCTAGTGCCTGTGATGGCTCGTGTCACTACAACGCCGGCCTGCGGCTGAGTCTGCCGCATCGGGAAAATCCTGTCGCTTGTTGTTGGAGGCTTTGTGTTGAGAAGTAGCTCTGTTGGACTTGGATGCGCGTTGCTTTTGCGGAAAGCAGGAAGGTCCACTGGCCTCATCCGCCGCATCAAATGCCGCAGGCGGCACCTGCCAAAAGCAATGCGCCGCAGAGAAGCACTGCCCCAGCGCTGCACCTGCGCTGATTGCCTCACACCATCTGCACACAGCTGAGGCGAAAGCTCCAAGCAAAACTTGCTCAGAAAGCGCGGGCAAGCTCTGCTGAAGCGCCCTGACCTCGCGAGCACGAATCAAATGAACAAGAGCCCACTCAGAGGCGGCTGATGGCGGCTGCAGATGACGAACGCATTATCTTGACATTAATATCGGCTCACAACAGGATAACTGCAAATGTACGAGCCACACATAAGCTTTACATGCTTTACCAAGCGGAACGGAACCATCCGTTACAAAGCGAGCATCTCAGTAGCCTTTGTATCCCAATCTCTAACCTAAGATACTTAACAAATAAAGAGGCATCGGCTTCAGCTGTGATGTTGTCAGCCCCATCGAAGACCCTTAGCCTTAGCCGTTTTCCTTCTCGCGCAGACTGATCTGTACGAGTGGGGCACTGTACCGGGCACTGTAACGCTCCGGACCACATCGGACCACATCGGGCCACTGCATTTGCAGCCCTTTGGCCCATGCCTTCTCGGCCTAAAGAAACCAGCGACTCCTCGGACGTAATCCCAATGCTTCCACTCCTCACAGCTTCGCACCTGATGTGCTACTGGCTGCCTTTCTCATCCTCCTTCACTCCAGCATACTCCAGCAGCCAATTATTCCAGGAGTTCTTCCGGTGACTTTTGTGCTTCACAAGACAACCTCGACAATGAATCACTGTAAACGGTGAGCCTGTCTCTGGGAGGTCAGCTTCTGATCAATTTGTTCCAGCTCGCAGCGTGCAAATGTCACATGTGCAGCGAAACCGCCACTGATCGAACAAGCGCTCGCGCATATCTGGCCCATCTTCCTCAGAGGCGAACCAGAAGCACTAGAGGCCGATGCTGACAGAACGAAGGTACTTGTCTGGGCATGATTGCGGCCGGGATACCATGTATGCAATGGTGACCTGTGTGCGTTTGGCAATGCATGCCCCCAACGGCTGTGCAAGCTTCATTTAAGCAGGCCTCCTCCCCTTCTTGTATCGGGTGCAAAGCTTGCAACACCGCCCATCCACGCAGATCCGGGCTGGAGAAGCATGACTGCAATGCACCTGGACGTGCGCTTGTACTGGAACACACATGTTCAAAGATTGTCGTCTCACCGAAATACGAACTGCAAAACTAACGTGCGGTTTCTTCAGGTGCGATTTTGCTGTTGTAGCCGAGTATTGGGCAAGTCGCACATGAGTCCCTTCCTTCCTGTTCTCATCAAGAAGAAAGCGATTTCCCACGATCCCCGTCTCAGTTTCAAAACATGTACAGTGCTTTCTTACCTCGCCACTCTGGGTACTCGAGGGAAGGTGTTTTCTGAACACGGTCTGTCGGTGTGAAACCTTCGGCTTGTTGGACAGAACAGCAGGTGCTGGGGGCGATGAAGAAAAGATTCCCACTTCATCTCTTTCTTTCTTTCTTTCCTTCTTTCTTTCTTTCACCTTGAGGGGCGAAACCCCGTACAGGCCGCGTGACCCCGGGTAGTGAGTAGTTTCTTGGAAATTGGGGGGGCAGATATCCAATGTCCCCTTATTTTCCCGCAATGGGTGCCCCCCTATCTCAATTGCCACGTCTCCCCCCGAGTCCTAGCAGCTTGCACCTTAGTGAAACTCTTCTTCTCTGCACTTGAGAGTCCCCCCCGGAGGAGGAACCCTTAGTGAAACTCTTCCTTCCTTCCTTCCACTGCACGTAGTCCCCCTGGGGGGACCGCCCTTACGGGCGAGCTCCAGCGAACTGTCGGTTTGTGAGACTACGCGGCGCTGTTGGAGGTTGCAACATGGGACTTGTTCATTCGGGTTAAGGGTGTGTAAAGACGTAAGATGCAACTAATTCCATTAGTGAAACTCTCTCTCTTTCTTTCTTTCTTGGGGGCATGGGGGCGAGCCCCCGGGCGTTCTCGCCCGCCCCGGTATTCGGGGGGCCTCGGGTCGGTTTGGTTGGAGGAGAGGAGAGCACTGGACCTTTTCCCCCGCTGCGCCCCCATTAGTGCCCCTCAGCGGTCCTGCCTTTGCCCCCTCTCCTCCTTCCGCGCCTACTGCAGCATCAGCAATGCCTGTGACTCGGCCAGCCCCGGACCATAACCCCGCCTACACTCCCTACACTCCAGGCAAACTCTCTCTCTCTCCCTCTCTCTCTTTCTTTCCCTCCCTCCCGAGGTTGTCGCAAACTGACTGACACACAAAGCCGTCTCAGGCCCTCGCAGTTGGGGTGGCAGCTGTGGTTCCTTACATGACATTCGCACTCTAGCTGTCTACAGCAGTGCAGGAGCGGCAGCGGGCGAAACTCGCCGGCCGCTTCCACAATCCGCTCACTGCTAAGTGACAGGAAAAAGACTACGTCAAGCTAAGCATTTCACACAAACAAAGGCCATGTGCAGATTGTCTCATGGACAAGGACAGAAAACCAGAACTGAGAATTTGCTGCGCAAGCCTTCTGTCTGCCATGTGGCACGGCGGAGACCACAAGGTACAGTGCCAGCCCCTCTGTAGGTGCTGGTCTATGCAGTTCCGTCGTTGCTGTTGGCTCCTGCGAAGCTTTATCACCAATTTGATTGGCACATGCTTTCGCTCCGGCACCGCGAGCTGCTCTCGATGTGAGATTTGGTTGTTACGCACAAATCATGAAACCAAGCTCACCGACCATTTTGAAGATTAAAGCATCCTAACACCTGAACTTTAATGGTGTGCCAAGGTGCCTCTCTT